GACGCGAGCAAATTCTAGAACGGATGATGAACTGATGAATTGATGGACGCCCAAAGACGCCATGGTAGCACAACATCGCAACCTGTTTCTCACCGGATGTCTGACTTGCTTCTCATACTCACAGATTCAAGTCAACCGTTGAGAGATTATCGCAAACAGTCAATCCGGAATGTCTCAGATCTCACGTTCGACTTTTCTCGGCGGCGGCGCAAGGTTCCATGGTCAATGCTTGAATCTCACATCCTTCGTTCGAAAGTCCTCCGCGTGCAGACATGGTCTCACGTCGGTCATCGCGTAAGAAAAACTCGGGATGGAAGTCGATGAAGAAGTGCCATTATCGATGAGAAACCCGAAACCCCAAAAGTCTTTGTCGTCCCGGGAAAACAATCGGTCGTGATAAAACACACACTTATGCGTGTCGCCTCGGGAAGGGATTGAAAACTCTTTGTTGAGCGGTTAGGGAGAGCAACGACTCATCTCCCGTCGCATTTTCTAGAAGGATGGCTGCCCCTAAGCAGCGATCGAAAGGATAAAATCAACGTTAATAGTGAGATCTGATCAAGAAGAAAGAAAAGATAAGACAAGACAAGCTTCGATGAAAGCGTGCGTGGTGTCCGCCGTGAAGGTTATTAACTTTTCTGCGCATTCCTGGCTCCTTCCACAGCCCGTGGTGGCCATCACATCACGCGGCATCACATCACAGCGAAAGAAGCAAAAAGGGGGCAGATGGAAACTGGAAAAGATTCACAGCCACCTCAACCTCAACCTCGAACCACAGCGCCGCCTCCGGAGCAAATATCGGAGGTGTTTCGAGGGTCAACCACCCGAAAAAAAAAAAAAAAAAAAAAAAAAGACGTTCACAACCTTCCACCAGGGACACCAGGGACACCAGGGCACAGAGAACCTGAGACCCTACCCGAACCGTCGGACGGTACACGGTGGGTGGATGGATGGATGGATGGATGGTGAGACCGTAAGAAAAAAAAAAAGGTTGGAGGGTGGGAGACACAAGAACCGAGACATGTCAACAGTTACTTGAAATAAAACGGAGGCTTACACACGCCCTTGGTGCCCTGTCAGCCGTTTTCATATTGACACGGAGTACCTGACAGAAAGTACCCAGCCACCAAGAATGAACTTGAAGTTGGTTCCGTTTCTCACTCACAAAAAGTCAAAAACTGAAGGCGAGTGTGCTCATCAACCAATGGAATTCCCCAAAGCCATCTCTGCATCTTGATTCTCCACTCGTTATTGTATGGCTCCACTGCGGACTTTGCAATGGTGCTAAACCCGATGTGGATACAAGCGAGGGCCATGCAGCCAAGAAATTCTGAAGGAAAATGCAGCAGCAGCAGTTGCAAGGCAGGGGAAGTACCTGTACGCAGTTGCATGCCATGTTGTCTGGTCTGGTTCGCTACAAGCCCTCACAATTCTTTTCAACAGCAAGACGGAACGGAGAGAGAGGAACAGAGGAAAGTCATTTTTACGTTTTGTTTTCACTGTCTACCGTACTTTTGACTTGCGACTTACCCGCCCGCTCAATGCTTCCGGCGTGCTGTAACTGCCAGGCAGACAGGAGAGATCTCAGTCCGGCACGTTTTTCTCATCCCTTGGACCTGCCGCGTCGCGTCAAGCCCAACTGCTACAGGACCGAAGAGAAAGCAAGCTGTGGGTATGAGCAAGTCTGAGCAGAGCGTTGCTGCCCGTTGGGAGAGGAAGCACAGCGGACATCGGCAAAAATGACAAGAGATGCACATCAACTCCAACTGGACGGATCCTGAGAAAGACGGAAGACGGAGGTAAGGTAGAGGTACCCAACGCTCATTCTCACAACTACGCTAGTGTTCCAATGACCCCATTTGCTTGGAGTTCTCTTGTCTCCGTCACGATGGTCACTGTCTGTTCATGGTCCCATACGGACCGAGTGACTGCGGTTACTGTACACCGTCCAGATCAGAACCGTGTCTGACTGTACAGGAACTTGGGAACATCCAAGGACGCCGGTACCTTTTTTCTCAGTTCTAGTTTAGAAAACCACAAGGATGGGTGCGAAGACGGTGGTCCTCCCCTCTGTGTGGGTGCAGCACCAAGCATCTCTCCAAGCAGAGAGAGAGAAAGGAACCAAAGACAAGACACACGCCCTCGTTACTGGAACTCACCCCCCTCCCCACCCCCTGGCCTGGTACCCTGGTCCTGGTCCCGTCGTCCAACCGTTCTCCTCCCAAGGAACGGACGCAGACAAGCTTGTCGCATTCCTTGTTGGAGTGAGGAACGGACATGGACCTGGAACGGGGACACCCAGGCTCGCACTCTGGTCTGCTCGACGGTGGGAAAAGTGACGGGGCTCATGATTCAAAACCAGCAGCCGCTCCGCTTCCTCTAGCACCAAAGTGCCTCTCGCTCTCCCTCTCTTTTGTCTTGTAAACCAACACCTCAGTTGTGTTTACTTCTTTCTATTTTTCACTCTACAGGACCATTGATCTTTATCTGGTTCCTTCCCTCTCCTAAATCCTCCTCCTCCCGTCCCCGAGGTTGGCCATTGACACGAAAGAGAAGCATCCGACTCATAGCTTCAAGGAAAGAGATACATTTGGGATACCCCCCTCTCTCGACATTCCATCGACATCATCATCAGCATATCAGCATATCATTCCGCATTTCACTGGAAGGCATTTTTGAAAAAAGAGCAAAAAAAGAGTCATCATTGCATTTGGAAAAGTTACAGAAAGAGCTTGGAAAAGGAGCCGCCGATAAGTGAGAAACATCAGGAAGTGGGCGAATAAGCGATATCTCGAAATCGACATACCCCCATCTCAGCGACATACCCCCTCCCGACAGGACACCGACCTCTTCACCGCCTACCATCTTGGGTCCCCGGCCACGGCAGTCTTTTTAGTGTCGTTCCTCCCGTCACAGTCGCCATCCATCCCGTCAGTCAATCAATCAACCATCAATCACTTCATCATTCCTCCTTTGTCCGCCGTCATCCGCCACCCGCCATCCGCCGGTTCCGATCGACTGATATAACCACCAACACCACCACCACCACCGCCTCCATCGATCGACAACGACGCCGACGACGACAACATTCGACTCTCTGGTAGAACCGAGTGCGATTTCGAAAACAAAAAGACTTTGACACTTTTTTGCAAAAAGCCAATTACAAACCTCGTTGCTGGAACATTGCCGTGGTTTGTCATTGCTCTCTTTTGCAATTCTTGTCCCTTGTCTTCTTTTTGAATCCCACCCGTTGGATCTTCACATCTCAATACGACCGGCTTTACCGCCAAGCCGTGCGGCTACATTCAAGTAAGTGGACACTCTAGTCATCCATTCAAACCAAGCACCAAGACACCAAGACAGAAATGGAACATGGAACAGAGGGAAAAAAAGAAGAGAGCGAGCGACACGACAAAAGTGGGCGGGTGCGATGCGACGCTCTCAAGTTCAGTTTCAGCAAATCAGGAACAGTCTTTTCCAGTCCCTTCTCTCTTGCCCCCTTCTGCACCCAATCGCTTAACCCTGCCCGCTCTGCCACTGCACTTGCACCCGATTGTCCACTCCCAACCAGCACCAGCACCACTGGCACCACTGAAAGGGCCTGGAAGACCTCAACCCGACACCACTGACTGCACCGCTGCCCCATGGTCGCGTCGGAATGCATGGACCACTTCACCACCGCACTCCCAAACTCCTAACACACTGGCCTGCCTCTCTGTCCTGCCCTGCCTGGATTGGACTCGTTTCTGGTCGTTGCCCGCTGGGGAACAAGGAAAAAAAAAGTAGCCAACCACCACAGCACAACGCACCCACGCCTACCTTACTAGCTACGCCGCTCTCGCCTATCTCCGTCTTTTCCTTCCACACTGCACATCGGATGGATTTGCCACAAGCACCACAGTCACTGCACACCAAGACAAGACGACGGGCTCCACTCCGTTATCTCTTCCCGCCCATACTGGCTTCTGGTGTGGCCATGATTGTGTCACAGCCCAGCGGTCCCAGCAACGCCCAGCCCTGCTGTTGCTGTGGGTGGTGCCCTGTTGCTGGGCTCACCAGTGTGGACAGTCACGACCCGCCATCAATTCTCATTCCCCACCTCCCCCTGCAGTGTACCTCTGCGCTACAGTCCGCCTGGATCGTGGTTGCTGGAGTCCCCATCTCTGGGCACTGGGCAGTTTCCACGCTGGAGATCAGGTCAATCGGGCAATGAGCGGGCGGCCCTTTCGCCATTCCAGTTTTTTTTGCCCAGTCCAATCCACGCAACCAGTCAATCAATTCGTTAGCGCCGGCACCGCAGCAAGTCTCAGTCAGACACAGACAAGACAGCACTCAGCAGTGCATTGTTCGGTTGCATTCAGCGAGTGCATTCCCCCCCCCTCCGGGCCGGAACTTCATTCCAGTGGCATGCTTCCATTGGTATCTGGCTGGCAGTGCAGTGCAGTGCCTCTAAAAAGACTTCCACTTCCTCTCCCCATCGATGTCATCCGTCATTGACAAATCATCATCATCTATCTCCCCACCCTTTCCTTCTTCCTTTTTTCGCATTCTTCATCCCCTTTTCTTATTTGCATTTTACAGCGACCATGATATCCTAAATTTCCACACCTACTCGAAATAGACCAGACTGAAACAAAACGGGCAACCGCTAACCTATTCACCTTATTCGGCATTTGCAGCTGCCCAATTCAATCCATCTTCAATTACTCTTGAAGTGGAAACCTGGGAACTTCTTCTTTGACACCACCTTCAAACAAAGAAACAACCCCCTCTCTTCCCGAGACTCAACCACCAAACCCCCGTCGAGGCCGCCTCCCACTCCTACGCATTTAGTACATTCCTCCATGTACTAGGCCCGACACTCGACACACCTCGTCTTCTCTCGCTCTACTCTACGTATCTTTCTCCACTCGCTTCTTCTCCCCCCTCGTCGCGATCGACTCGACGACGACCTCTCCGCCCGGTACTCCTCCCACGACCACACACAATCGCGGGAGAGAATGCCTTATACACCACCCTCCCACAGGTCTCCGGCTTCGTCGGCACCCTCCTCACCAAGCCAGAGCCGGAGACCTTCGGTCCATCAACCACAGAATGGCGGTGGCCCCATGTCCCCAACATCAACGACCAAGCCCGTACTCCCTCGATCGGCCTCGTATCTTTTGAAGCACCGACGAACCCCCTCGGCTCCCGCACCCACACAGCATAACGAGTTGTCTCCATCGGCGACCGTAGAGGATCTCAAGACCATGGCTCTCAACAGCATCGTGCGCCAGTCCCCACCACCAATAACGGGCGAAAGGCCAGGCATGCCCGCAGGCGCCGTCATTTCTCCTCCCGACTCGGCTAGTGAAGATGAGGGTCAGCTGGAAATGAAGAAGGAGGACACACAGCGCGGCAGGACGATCGAGAACCTCAAGGAGCTCAAGGACGCCATCAGCCAGATCCCCGTCCACCGCTCGTGCTCGCCAAACAACCGCACCGACCTCCCCGAACCCGTCATCACCGAGAAGAAGGACAAGACAAAGCCGGATGCTGGTGATCTGCTAGTACTGCCATCGCAGGCCAAGGCCATTGCCGACATGAAGCAAAAGCAGGACGCCGCCAAGGGAGTCAACCGCCGATACTCGCACACCCGATCCGCCACCGAGTCACACATTGTGCTGAGCAAGTCTATGGGAAGCTCGCTCGTAGGATCTGAAGAGGACACCGACGAAGAGCAGCAAAGGAAGCCCCCCATGGTGCGCAAGAAGTCGGGCGAGCTCGTGCGTCCTGCGCTGCGACCTCCATCTCGCCGACGACCCTCCAGTATGCCTGGTACGCCCACTTTCAAGGCTGTCCACTTTGACTCGCATCTCGAACACGTTCGCCATTTCTTGCAGGTCGACCGCCCGTTGGCCGTTAGTGCTGGCTCATCGCCGGTCGATAACTACGATAGCGATACCGAGTACCCCTTCAACGGGAACAACGACAACCAGTCAAATGCGCGTCAGCCTCCCTTCGAGTGGGAGCTTGTCCTGTCCAACTTCCCCACCGATACCCCCGCTCGCAGGACACAGCCTGTCCGTTTGGAGCGCGTCTGGCTCTCTAGCGACCAGAAGTGCCTGATAGGCTCGGTAGCGGTGGTCAACCTGGCGTTCCATAAGAGCGTTACTTGCAGGTTTACTTTGGACTACTGGAAGACCACCTCCGAGGTGTCGGCCGAGTATATGAGCGAGATCGTCCCCGCAGACTCCCGCTTGGACAGGACCGCTTCAACTTCACCATCAAGCTCTCGGACATGGCCAACCTCGAGTCAAAGACGCTGTACTTCTGCATCAGGTACAACGTCAATGGCCAGGAGCACTGGGACAGCAACAACGGCATCAACTTCCAGATTGACTTCCGCAAGAAGGCTCTCCCCGCGAACGGCAAGAAAGGCGTCATCGGCGCTGCTTCTCGTCCTGCTAACGGCTTGCCCAAGAGCAACCGTCGCTCCAACCAGTCGTCGGCCGCACCAAAGCCCAAGTTCGCTCCCATTGGCTCGGATGACTTTGGTGGCAGGAGCAAGCTCAGCTTTGATAGCTCCCTCGATGACTACATTGGCGACTCGCTTCCCGCTGGCCTTCGTCTGCGTGGTGTTAAGAGCACCACCAGCATTCCCAGCGATAACCTGCCGAGCCGTCTGCCTGCCCCTAGCGGCCAGGCCTTTGCCAACCGCTACGACTTTGGTGCCTCCCTTGCCACAGCCATCCAGACCGCCAAGGATAACCTGCCCAAGAAGGAAGACGGTGCTCTTTACATGAAGTCCTCCAGGAAGCCCGCTCCTGCGAACTCTTCTATGCAGCGCAGGAACCATCCTACCCTGGCTACCCCTGTTGCTCCCGCTCCTGCTCCTGCCCCTAAGAAGGCTCCGGCACCAGTACCTACTTCTGCTCCTGCTCCTGCTCCCGCTGCCGCTGCTCCTGCGGCTGCCACCCCTGCGCCCGCCAACTCCACCTCCAAGCCTTCTCTCAGCATCCCTGGTGTTTCCACCACCGGCAGCATTGCTTCGTCCTCGTATGAGGAGCTCGTCAACAAGTACTGCTTCGTAAGTTGTCCTTCCCCCTGGGTCTCTGGTTGATAGATAGCATTTGACAAGCCTCAAGGCACCCCACATCTCACGGTAACGATCATTAACACAATATTCATTACAACAGTTTGGATCCACCAAGCAGTCCAGCCCTCAGATTAAGGATGGTAGCTTGCGCAACGGTCGCTTCGATAGTGCCGCGGACCTTCCCCAGCTCGCTAGCACCAGCAGCTCCAACAACTCGAGCTATGAGGGAAGCCCGGTTCACAACAACTTTTACGGTATGGGGTCTTCGGCTCAGCATCACTCGCTGCACCCGAGGGATCCCAACCCGTATTTCTCTCATGGAAATTTCATGAGCTTTGGTGGGGGGTCGCCGGCTGAAAGTCCTCTTAAGATGGGGCTTCCAGTCGTCGCAGCAGCAGAATCCTGCTAATAACCCCTCAAGCAATGGGTCGTCACGCAGCAATGGTTCTGGCACTAACAGCTTCGGATCTGGCTACGGAACCGGACCCAGCTACGGATCGAACTCTACTGGTACGTCGTCGAACGAGTACCCATATCACCACAGCACCATGTCTTATGCCGATCGTTTCCCGTTCTACACAAACAACTATAACTATGGAGGCGCGGAAGCTCATGCTGCGACAGCTATTAGGGGGTAGATGAGTTCCATCTTTCTCATCTCATCTGTGTTGGGGGATTCTATCGTCAACATCCATGGGTCCCAAACAACAAGGCGGCCCCTCCCCTTTCTGTATATGAATCCCACACTTTCAACCTGTGGCGATTACACACACAAACAACTCTCGACATATCATCACCGGCCTCGACATAAACTTTCTACTCTTCCCGGTTCTCCTACTCATTGGTCCTTTTTTTCGGCATTTGCTTTTTTCGTTCGGTTTTTAAAGCATCCACAAGTTTGGCGTTTGGGTGGTTTCTCTTTTCCTATCTTCTCCTTTCAATAAACAACAGCATGATGATCACGAGTTCAAACTTCGGTTGTACGATTAAGGGAAACTGGCGGATTACCGGCATGGACAGGTTTCTTCCTGGTTTTCCTGGATTGGCGAGGGAGTTTTTGGTGGTCGGGTTTCTTATTTCTTTCAAAGGGGTTGTTGGGTGGCCATGCAAACTCACTCGTCGCTAGAAGTCGTCAACATTGGTGGTTCCTCACCAGGTCAAGGAGTCACAGGGAGCGGTTTATCCTTTTCGGTCGTCACGTCATTCCCACATCATCATCTCTACAACACACACTTCGACAAACACATCAACCTGGCTTTTTGCAACTCTGCGATAGCCGATGGAACCTTCGCACCTTCAAGAAACATTCTGTCACTGGGATTTCCCAGTTCGTCGTGGTAGCTCTTTTGGGCTGCCCGACTCGGTCGTCGTGCTCTCCTCCTTTTGGAAGTCAGGGAGCAAGATGATGGATGAAATAGTTCTTTGCATGGTGGTGATTGATTCTGTCATCGAGTGGCTGTTATTAGTACTCGGTTAGCGTTGTTTGTATTTCCCGCAGCTGTGCGCACATGGTCGGTTAGTCAACAGCGAAGGTCCCAATGCATTGCATCAACAGTTACTTTACATGGCATCAGTCCGCTCGGTCGAAGCCTATTCTGGGCGCGAGACTTTTGTTATCTTGTGGGTAACTTAGCAGCGTCGGTTGAGCTAGCTATACATGACTTCGATTGTGCATAGTAGAGGTGGTGGGCTTGGGTCTGAGTGATGAAAGAGAGGTAAACCACTACACTGGACACTTACTTGTACTTGTATGAAGGAAACACAAATGGCAATGGCAATGGCAAAGGCAGAGAGCTTGGGAGGAGAGAGTCTCATAGGGTTGAGTGGTGGCGGACCAGTCATCGCGAGGTTGTTGGTCAGGTCAGGTAGTTTGTGTCCTCATTTCTATTCTCTCTCTCGTCTCGGTCGGCTGGCTCTCGTCGCGCGGGTTTGTGCAAAGGTTGTCTTTTCTTGTTCTCTTTTCTTCTTTGGTAGTTGGTTTGGTTGGTTGGTTGGTTGGTTGGTTGGTAGGCAAGGGGGTCAGGAAAAAAACTTATGGGTATGACACAAATGACAAAGACAATAAGCAATTGAATTGATAAAGTTTGATGATCACATTGTATCGAAGCAATGCGGATGAATTGAACGTACTGCGATGTATTAAAGTGCAACATAATGACACAACTCAACACAGCACAACACGACAACACAAAAACAGACACAGACTGGAAATACTGTATGGTAATGCGAATGAATGTCTTGCACTGAAATGTGATTGCATGGTGATGTACCAATCTAATAGTGATGACTGTTGCTAGAGAAAGGTTAGGTTGGTCGGATGGTTGGTCGGATGTTTGATGGTTGATCTTTGCCCAAGGGGTAGGTAAGGTTTCTCGACTCCTCGAGTGCTGGGCTGAGCGTGAAATGTGGAAGGGATGGTACGAAATGGCGGGGGATTTGAGACGAAAAAGGTGAATGATGTGGAAATTACAGGACATGAAAAGACCTACCACTCAACTCCCGGGCCCAGGAAGTCACACTCGGCATGAGCAAGCTCGGGGGCAGTAAAAGGTGAGAAGAGAACGGCTGCGCTACCTTAGCCAGGAGAATTGTGAAGCGGGCCATGATGTTCGGAGTAGACGAGAACAGACCCAAGGCTGCGATAGGAAGGAGTAAGAACGTAAAATATACTGGTTGAAGTAACGAAGCATCATTCGAGTTTTGTTGTGGCGTTTAATTGGCGTTTATACATGTAGGATGATGCTCATGGCAGAGTAGTCTGGGACCTGCGTCGGAGTACTTCCGCGTGGAGATGTTGACTTCACTGGACGTTGTGGTGAAGTCGGATCCCATCTCAGACTCCGATTGATTCCGGGGTATGGTGGACGGTGGTCCAGTCTGGGGATGTCTTCCGTTGGGAGCAGACTTGATATCTCATCTATTGTCCTAACATTACATCAGTCATGTTGTGTAGGTGTGTTCCATGGATTGAACCCGGTAAGTGGGAATAGCAACCGAATATTCCCATTTCCGATGGGATTACCTCCATTGTAAGTGCTTTATGTTAGAATCCATGTCCTGTAGTCTCTTCGACTCTTCCTGCAAGCAACTAGAAGTAAAAGATGTTACATCAAAGCAGACCTCTACATATCTCCAACACCCTAGAGGCACCTTACCTATGCAACCAGTCTATCACGCCCAAACACCCATTTTATTTTCACTACCGACTCTCCCTAGGTTCCTAGGTTCTAAGGTTCGAAATCGTTTATTCATACAACGCCATCGCGGCGGCCAGGCCACACGTCAACGACATACCTCTGCGGATCCTTCTCACAAGTATTGGGTCCAGTCCGCCACAATAATCCACCAGTGCCATCCCATCAGTGACGACCCCTCGCTGGGAGTAGGACAGTGATACAGTGAATCGTAATTGTGTGAAGGGTCTACTAGTTGACCCGAGTCCCGAGAGTTGCAGAATCATCGTGATCGTGAGGTCTTGTTCGGTTACTCATATTTCGTTCGGTTGTTAAACATGGAAGTTAGACGATGGATGCCTTGGGTATGTAACTGCCTCATGTGACAGATGAGGTAGGCACCGATAGACACTTACTAGATGGGCTTGGGATAGATAGACAGGGGGAGTGAGGGATCAGTACATGTAACTGAATTCTGAAAAAGGCTTACCCCAGCTCGCCCGGATACAAGTTGATGACACCTGAGTCCACCCTCGGAGCACCAAATCCAGCTATAACACCACAAAAATCAGCGATTTTACCGTATTCGATGCCCAGTGAGGGCATATATTGTCAAGTTATATAGGCCTCATGTATTTTGGGCAATCAATTCAGTCAGTTGTTCTTGGCTTCCTGGGCTTAGAACTCAGGCTCGGGTTTCATTAATTTTGTCCTAGGATAACTGCCCTGTACATTTATGCTTGGCCTCTACGTGATTGCGAACTTCGTTTGGGTTGGTTGCCCGGCCACATGATATAGCGGTGGCTGGAGTTCATATTGCACACGTCACAATCGAATGACGTTTGATGCCTAGTATCCTGGCGGTAAACTCAGATTCATAACGTTGCTTCTTAAGCCTGATCTGTAGGACCAACCCGGGTTTTACTGTTGATGTCGGGCCGGTTGGGTAGAAGGTGGCAGTAGTACTCTCCTCTTCAATCACTCCTTAGTACCTAGGCTGGATCTATGGTTGTAGATGTTGGTTGACCGACGTTGTGTTGAACTCTGATCCAGTCTCAGATAGTTATTCCGGGCTCGTCCAAGACAAGTTAACGTGGACTGCATGCCGCCCGGCCAGATCACCAAAAACCACGACGTCCGCCTGAATGAAAACCACTAAAACGGTTTCCATTCCACCCATTACATACTTTTACTCCTCTCATCCGTGCTCGAAGCCATCCCTAAGTCCCAAAAGCCGTTTACAGCCTGACAGACTCTTCAGTGTCCTGTCGATTTGTCCTTAACATCAATCGGGCTCTGGAGTACGCGTTGATTTGTCCTGGAGAAGTGTCCGGGGTACGGTAACCCGGCCGATCTAGGGGCGTCTCAGACTCCAGTCCCAGGAGCAACTTACGTGGAATTTGGTATAATAGCTACATATCACGCCACTGGCAAGTCCTCTTGCGCGCGCCGCGCCTTCCATTGTTTTCTCGATTGCAATGAATCAGTTGAGGGACCCCGTCGAGCGGAACCTGCCACAACTTGTTAGTTCCTTCAACATTAGTGCAGTCACAAGCCACGACACCTAGCGTCCTTACTAGGGCCAATCAAGCTTGAGGCCCAATGCCTTAGTCATGAGAAATATACATTATCTACAGATTAACATCACTATGTACTCATCGCTAACATCATTACACCCTCTTCCCAGATCATTATGAACAGGTGGTTGGTATCCAAGATCAAGCTTTCCTCCCATTCCTCCCAATCCTTCCGAGTCATTACTTGCGTAGAAGTTGATCAGAACAACCACCTCTCCTCGCCCATCGGGCCATCCTCCACGATAAACCTCACCCTCACCCTCCCCGGCTTCACTCTCCCCGTGACCTTCGCGGCTTGCTTTCCAACCTTCGCGGCTTCCTTCCCAACCTTAGCTGCCTGATTTCCCACCTTCGCCGCCTCTTTATGTACCCCCTTCCATATCCCCTTCACTTTCTTGCCCACCTCGGCAACTGCTTCCGTGTTTATTATTCCCTTTTCACCAGGGTCCTTAACTCCATCCCCCTCCTCACCTTCGTGTTCCTCCATCTCCTCTTTCCGCTTCCGTTTCTCCATTTCTATCCTCTCCCTCTCCTTTTCCTCCTCCTCCTCCCTCCTCCTCTCTTCCTCCTCAATCTCCCTCCTCCGCACCTCCCACGGCGCCCCTCCCATCCCATCATCCAACCAACACCCCCCATCAGTACACCAAACCCCCGCCTCCCTACAATGTCTCACCTCCTGCCTGCTTACCCTCCCGTCATCCTTTGGTATCCAAAGCTTGGGAGCAGGCTTCCACATTTCTTCCGGAAAGTATCCCCTTTTATTCTCATACCCCCTAGGTAATTCCCAATTATCCGGTCCCGGCCCTTGCCCGATTTTTTTGGCGAGGGACCTAAAGTCTGCGTAGACGGAGGGATGTAACCACCTTTGGACGCGATTTGGGTTCTCGATTGTCGGATCGGGCGTTAGGAAGCGATGGATTTTATACAAGAACCTGGTAAGGTGAGATAATCGGCCGGGGGGACCGGTGCCGTTTGCTGATGCTTTTAGGGTTGATAGTTGCAATTTTAAAGTGGACTTGGCTAGTTGCGTCAAGGAGTGCCGGATTGAAGAAGATCCTTCTAGTCCGCGCATGCGTTGGCCTGTGCCATCGGGGCCGGAAGAGAAGTCATCATCGTAGAGGCCGGGGGGTTCGGGGTCGTCGGTGGAAGGGTCAGAGTAGTCGAAGGAGGTAGAGCCGTAGTAATCGGCTGCTGAACCGCCGATGACTTCGGCGGGGATACCGGGCGTGGGGTCGTTGTAGTAATCTGCTGCTAGGCCGCCACCGGTGCCGGGAGTAGGCTCGGCGAGGGTGGGGTTGACGTGGTCGTCGCCGTCGCCGTCGCCGTCTTCGGCGATTTGGCCGTGCTGTTTTTCCAAGGCGAGGGTTTGGGGTAGACTGGCGAGGAGAGGAGAGAGGGCTGAGCTGAGGGACCAATGCGTTATAGCGCAGAAGCCGAAGAAGAGGATCATTAGGAGCATAGGGCCAAAGGCTTTCTTGAGCGCGAAGAGGCCAATGAGACAGATCTCGGCGATGTACAGGCCGACCATGAGATGGAGTAGTGCCCTTGGGTATAGCAGCCCCTTGGTATCAAGCTCTGAGTCATCATGGACGTAGATCAGCGAATACCGATAGACGTAGCTGACGAAGAGCATCCCGAACCCAGCAAACACCAGAATCAGCGGGCTTATGCAGGAGTACGCCAGGGCAATGACGCCCATGTTCGTGAAACGGGGGTATACCGCTCCCCAATGAATCGGCGTCAACTTCCTCCACCGGTTATAACTCTTCCTCGGATCGACCGCGAACTTGGCAGCCACATCATGACGAAACAAATCGCCCACGTTCGCCAGCTTGGCCGCGCCCGCACCGAGACACTGCACCAGAATATACGACAAGTAAAAGTTGCTCGCCTTGGGCAAGTTCTCCGCCAACCTATCCGGCGCTTTAAGCGGTTCCTTGATAACCTGGATAATGGCCGCCGAGGCCGCGGACGTGATGGTCGTGATCAAGAAGACCTGCACGACCTGGAACGCAAAGTACGCGCTCTGGCAGTACAGCTCCACCAGCGCGTGGGACGGACAACCGGCTACCCTAGCGCAGACTCGCAGTCCGGCGGGGACGATGGCCATCAACATGCTTAGCGCCATGGCAGGTAACAGACCTTTAATGACGCCCACGATGACCTTGGGGAGTAACGGGATCCAAAAGAGGAAGGGCACCTTTTCGGCTAAGAAGTCGATATTGCTGACGATACCGACGGCCGCGGAGGGGAAGGACCAGAAGATGATGGCCACCACTACCAGCGCGAGCATGAGGAATTGGCGCATGATGCGCTCCCACCAGCGGATGCGCAGGGACGACCAGATTACTTGTTCGGGGCGCACGCCGATGTAGCGCGGGGACATGTGCATTGGTTGGTGGTGGGCTAGGATCTGGTAGGCGGCTTCGGCGGAGGCTTGGGAGTCGAATTCGATGAAGGCGGAGGAAAGAGGTTGGCCGTCGCCGGAGCGGAACTTGCGGCGGAGTTTCCAGATGTCGCGGTTGAGGACCTTCAAGCGGGCTCGAGTCCAGCGGATGGTGTCAACGCGTCGGCCGAAGTTGTGCAAAGGTCGGTGGTGGGGTCGGTCATTCGCGCGGAGGAAAATGGCTGCGACGGAGCCGCGGACGTCGGGGAGGGAAGAAGAGTAGCCGTAGGGGTGTTGATATTCGGGACCAAGATCGTCTTCTTCGGGCTTTTTGGGGGCGCCGGGGTCTTCGCCGGGTAGCGTCGCTGGGGTTTCGGTTTCATCGACGGGAACCGGTGGCACTTCGGTTCGGCGTTCGGACATGCGGATTCGAATCGGGTCGGTTTTAGTTCCCTTCTCTAGATCGCCATCCTGGGTCGATTCGTTCGAGTCCTGCAAGGAGAAGGACGATGTCTTTGAAGATTGTGGGTCGTCGGTCGTGAGTTCGTCCGAGAATGCTGGCGCGCCCTTTCCTTCCTTGATGTTCTTCATCCGGATCGTATTCGCCTTTTTGATGAGTTCGATTTCCGCCTTTTCCAACCGTTCCGCTACATCATCTCTATCCTCCACTAGGCCGCGGAGGTAGTTGGTGTTTTTCGGGATCCAGATGTTCTTCGCCGAGTCGCCAAACAGTTTTCGTAGCTTCGCCTCGTCCAGATATGGTTTCGGGATACACGTAAACAGCACCGTCCTAGCCGATAATCGCTTGCTCATGTTCGGCGAAAGCAGGTATGCCTGGCGTAAGTTGATGTAGTAGATGCATTCTCGGCAGATCATAAACAGCACGAAACCTGTAAACAGTCATCAGCACACCTCACGCATCACCGTGACGAAAAGAACTAACCAAAAAACAACCAAGCCACCACCACATGCGCGTAGTACTTGCTCGGCAGCTTGATATTGCCCATGGTCAACTTATCCAGCTGCCTCTGCACATTTCCTCCGGTGGCATTGATAGGCAGCAAGATAGGCCATGATATCACCAGTCCAGCGAAGCAAATAACCGACAAGATCCTCAGAAACCTGAGGAACAGGTACCCGTCCAACGAGCAATTGTTGAGGATGTAATCATCATCGATTTTCCAAAACGGTATTATCCAGTCGAACCACCCATTGGGCAGTTTGGGAGCCGGATGCCTGCACTCGCACAAGATTGCGTTAACGGTTAGCCAGGCACAATGCAATCATTTTGCATCATTTGTAAAACTGCCGAGAGTCGCACGGGTCGTTGCACACTCGTGCACAAGTCGGGCAGATCTGACATGACAGAAAAGACATACTCAGGCTCGCGCAACTGTTTAATAGTCCTAGGCGCATACGTCCTCGTACTGGTCCTCCGACATGCAAAGAAGATGAGCAAACAAATGCCGGCGTAGATGAGTACGGGAACAAAGGTGCTACCAAGGGCGCTCAATGACGCTGGGTCTTTGTCGTGGTCGCCCACGACTTGGGAGACAGTGCCACCGTTTGAGCCATCGCGGGCGGAGCCGACTCTGCTGTCATCGCTTTCGTTCTGTTGTGGTGGGAGAAGGGGGTCGGTTAGTGATGTTGTTGTTGATGAGCGGGAGGTGAGTTGTTTGTTAGGTGAAGGTGAGATGAGATGGGATGAGATGAGATGAACAGGCCGGTGGGAAAGGGGAACAAGGGAAGCGGGGACGGAAGACGGAGCGCACGGGAGCCGGGAGCGGCCCGGGCGGCGTATGTCGGCAATCGGGATGAGATGAACGGGCGGGAAAAACAAGACGAAAGAGAAACCATCGAACCTACTATGGGAAGTTTAAACTCTCTCTTGTTCAATAGTTCTTCGGCTGCCCTTTTCCACAAGTGGGTATGGAACTCTGACAACCACTCCATCGTGGGTTGTGGTTGTCTGTCCTGTGACTGTCTTGCCTGGCTGCGTGTTTTCTTTAAAGCAGCTTAAGACCCAGCAGCAGCAGCAGCAGCAGGAGACTACACAACCAACTGACTAACTGACTGGTGAAAGTCAAAGGCGCAACTTTGCTCAGGTCATGTTATGATGAAATGCCACTTCAGGCACGAGACCGCGCGTACGACACAAGACAAAAGACAAGAACAATAAATGATGTGCAGCAGATGGAAAGCCGTTGGGAGAGAAAGTCGAGCTAATGCCAGGAACAAACTCCGCTCGGTCAACTGGGGACTGAATGGAAGTTAGAATTGCGGGCAGGTGGGCGGGCCTGGCGGGCTGGCGGGAAGCTGTGGAGGGGATTGGAAAAAAAAGGAATGGATGGATGATAGGCAAGTTTCTCTGGAGCCGCTCTGGAGCCCTCCGAATCGTTGAGAGCCCTAGGAATCTTGGGCTTGGCGGTGGTGGGCAGTGGATTTGTCTCATTTTCGAGCAATGGTCCGCCACCGGGGTCACCCAGGTTTCCTGAACGACCCTGAGGCGAGGGAGGGAGGGGCGTGGGCCAGAGGAGGCTTTTGGCTTTTTTCGGGCTTTTGGGGAGCTCTATCCAATCACACAAAACATGGTAAGGATGAGCGGAGTAAACTGTGAGTGGAGGACAGACCTCGCCGACGTCTGTCAGCAAAAGAAACCACGAAACCACGAAACCACGAAACAAAGCGGACGGGAGTTACTTTACCCGAAGTCGTACAGGAGGCCGCTGAGTCGCTGACTGAGATCCCTTTCTTTTACAACTTGGATCCTTTCGCTCCCCCAAGAATACCATCCCAATCTCCAATGTCGCGCACAGACATTTCAACATCTCGTACCTCCCACCACTGCACTGCAGGGACAAGAAAAGCGAAGAAGAACAGAGGCCCAACTTCCCACAGAAAAAGGGTCCTTGTTTTCAGCTCTCGGCCAGTCGCAAATCGATACCCTATCAGGTCTCGCTCTCCCGCACTTGTCCAATCCCATGGGTCGGCGAGAGGATGCGCTATACTGGATCGGTGGATAGCGTGTGGGAATTGCGGCTGAGTTGAAATCGGTTCGGAGGAGAGATGCCCCCTTTGAATTCTCCCCCAACCTCCAATGGCCCAGTGAGGGAGAGCCAAACAATAGCCCCAACTTTCAATCCTTCTTTTCTTCTTTTTCTGTGCCCCAGACCGAGAGGCGCTGGCGCGGGAGGTAAACCCGCCCCACGATGTCATCATGCGCTATCGCGACTCCGTGAGCCATTCAATGATGGTGAATCTAAGACATTCGCCTTCGTAGGGTCGTAGGCGATTGTGATGACTGGTTCAGAGGGCTTGAAAGGATGGAGATTGGATATTTTACCCCAGATCGCAATTCGCAAGAAGAGATCTCATTTCTTGCAGTTGTGTGAGACTTGCAGCAGCGCTGGTGATGCCCGTAATCTCGGCGCATCACCGTCTGCGTGACCGCGTCTGGCCGCCCTGAAAACTCCACTTGATCCCTTTCCCTCCGGAACATGCACCCGCAGTTCAACGTATCCACACATCGGATGAGTGGGCGATCAACAGCCCGAGACAGATACAGGGCGGTCATGGGTTCAGTTCCAGCTTCGTGGTCAACTTGCCCAACTTCAGGGCTACACTTCTTTTCGTGGTAGAACATAGCGAAGATGCTGCAACAAGTTGGATTAAGGATGAAGCTGAATGACAGCAACATCACAACGTCTCAATCACCTTCTCCTGAGACCTGAGCAAAGGAAATGCGACAAGAACTCGGGGATAGTGAAGGCTCCACAATGGCCCCTTTTCTCCTGCAGTCGGATTATGAAGGTCAAGACTCAGGAACGCAACTGCAAAACCTGGAAGCACAGAAAGGAAAAGAAAGCATATCCAATTCGGCTACGTAGATTGGTATCTTGCTCCGGGAAGCTGGTATCCAATGGTCAGCTTTTGTCCTAAATGGCCTTTACGAGGATAGACGACACACCTTGGCCTTGATCTTGCCTACTCACATCCAGCAAGGAAATCTTCCTCCAGAGCAATTTCATCCCTTCTCTCACGTCCTCCCCTGCCTGTAGATATGAGGATTCCACTTGGTCGTCGCAACAGCAACAGGCGGAACCCTCGGCGCCTGCGCCACACCCGGTCCATATCCTGTCGCAACATTTCCGGGTGCCGCCTTTCCTGCCGTTGCTCCTCCCTCGAAGCCAACACCGTACCCCCTATGAGCCTGACTTTGCCCATATACACCTCCTTGCCCGTAGACACCTCCTTGTCCATACCCATTCGCCTGCCCATAACCATTTCCCTGCCCAGAGCCATAACCATACCCCGTCTGAGCCGTCCCAGCTACTCCACTCTGATACGCAGGCCAGGCCTCCCCCATCTCAACATCCCTCAGTATTGTCCTAGTACTCGTACTCTGCGAACTGCTGCTGGTGCTACTCGTCCCGCTTGAGCTTGTGCTCGACGAATCATGATAGTAATAGGCCCTCCTCCACCGGCGCTGCCGACTGCTAGCCGCCATACTGGCGTTGCTCCAGGCGCGGAAGCGGATGTAGAAAAAGCAGCAGATGATGAGGAGGATGACACCGCCGATGGAACCGAGGATTGCGCCGAGGAGGGCTGTTGAGGAGAGAGGGGCGCTTTCGCGCGGGAGAAGTTGGTGGTCTCGAGGGGCTATGGTGGTAAGAGCAAAGTCGAAGGCTGGGGTTTGGTTCGCATTGCGCTTGGTGATGGATAGAGAGGCTGTCGCTGAGCGTATTGAGCGGGAAAGACATCGGGTGAAGCGAGCAAGCAGGTAGCTTTCTCGGGTTTCGATCACGGCGGGCATCTCCATGTTGTTTGATGGTATGCTTGGGACTCGTCTCTCTGAACTTGAGGAGATGCGGTAGGATCTCAGTCTGAGAAGTGAGACAGGCCGGACTATATCAACCAACGCCGCGGGTTCCCACCGGCTCTGCCTACTCCCGCAACCCACATGGGCAAACCGCAGACTCTGAAACAAAATAAAAGGCTGGGACCAAGGTCTTCCACTACTCCAGCTCCTATCACCTTGCTACTACTCAGCGATACCGGCACTGCGCCGCATGATGTTGTGTTGACCTACCACACATCATGACCCGCTAACTATATCAAGGTGAGACAAGGTGTCCCGCATTGGATCATATGGCACTTGGCATATGACTGGAGCAATCGGGTTGAGGGTGTAGACCCTTTGCAGCCGAACCTGGCAGTTGGGACTCGGGCGGGAAGGGCCCGGAGTGGTGGGAACTATAGTTAGCCCAGCGAGCCCAGCTGTGTGCCCAGGTGCCGATGGGGGGATAGTAGCTAGGATTGCTAATGTTCGATAGCGTAGGACCCTCTTGTCATAAAGACGTGGCGGGACGGGACGGTCGTAGCTTGGTAGCTCCAAGGGACCGATAGGATCTGGTAGTTCGAGGCTCTGGAGAAATGATGTGTTTGTAAGGCTCCCTGCTAAGCTTGCACTAGCTGCCTAGGCGAAAAGCTTGTTCGAGCGTATACCGTGCTTTAGTGCTGATCCTTCAAGAAGTCGGGCATCTGAAGTCGAGCCAAGCGAAGCAAATACGGCAAAAGGATTCCAGGTTGGGCGGGAATCGCGGGCTGTCCCAGCGAGCGATCTTCCTTCGGCGACCTCTCTGCTGCTCTGGCTCGTTGCTCCTGCTCCTGCTCCTGCTGTGTAGCTGTCATCACAGCATATCTCGGCCTACCGGTTCTCGGTGACTGGGGAACCAAGCACCAAAGACCCCTCCTAATGACGTGCCGCAGCCTGATATCTTCATCTTGATATGCTCAATATGTGCTTCGTGGTGTTGCTCCTGCTGTCGGCCAATGGGGTAAACAACCGCTACACCCTCTCGCCGGGCCACTCCAATGGGGACAGAGAGGGGGCTGCATTGGCTCTGCACACAGCTGTCACAGCATGATCTCGTGTCGGTGATGTATTTTTCGCTTTGAGATGGGATCAAGGACCAGGCTGGGACGGTATCTTCGAGGTGGTTGACCGGTTGTCGCGTTGGGGCGGGATTGGAGGAAGCGATGAATGGCTGGTCGAGCGAGGAGGCTTGATACAATATTAACGCGGTAAAGGCAGTTCTGCGATGGTTATGTGAGCAGAGTAACTGGGTCGCGTTTGCTGTCCAAATCCGGTACGGTCAGCCCCTCTGCTGGGACTGACGGGAAGTCCACCTGAGTCCACATGTCTGTAGATTGGGTAGGACACGGATGAATGTCATTTGAGGCTCAAAAGAATTGCAGGTGTGAGTGATAGCAAGTGAAAGCCCGGCGTGTTGGAATGCGCAAGACGTTGCTTTGGTAGAAGGGAAAGTTGAAAAAGCGAACGGACATCGAAAAGACGTAGCCAGTGGCCAGTGTGGGCTGCCCCGCCATCCCACTAAGATATGTCACTATCTGAGTTACTGCATCACTCCCATTGCATTCGATAATACAATAACAGATCGCAACAGAACGTCATCTGCTTCAAACCTCCCTCTCAGTCTTCCACGCTCCCTTGCCATCCCCGTCATCCTTCCTCGTTCTCTCATCAGACATATATCAAGTCCAACACTTACACTTCTCCGGCTCCTTACACTGCAAATACTCATCATCAAGACACGTAACCCTCGAGCAATCGCATCGTGTCGGCTGGCACAATACACTCGCCATTTGGAAACTTTTCCTCATCATCCAGCGAGCAGTAAGGCGTGGTGGCATAGGGACAGTGCGTCAACACTTGCTTGCAGTCTAGGTACTCGCTTGTTTTTGAGGATGGCTGATGTGCAGCCTGTTATGGGGTGGCAGTGGCATTTCCTGTTTACATCCTTTTTCTGTCAGTCGCTAACCTAGAGCTAGAAGTCTAGGAGATATCGAGCGAAGCGAGGAAAGGAAAAAAAAAAAAAAAAGAAGGAAGGAGGCGAGAGAAGAGAAAGGAGGCGAGAGAAGAGAAAGAAAAGGAAGGAAAACAGACATACCCATCACCATCACCCCTCGTCTGTCCCCAATCGCAAGCTGTATGATGGCAATTACAATCCCCATCAGGCTCCGTCACACAGATACACACGTTGTTGCGCCAGAAGGGGTCCATCTGTTGGCACATCATCGATTGGCCATGGGGGCAGGGGACGTGGTATTGCTCGCAGTCGGAATCGGCGCGGCAACCTTCGTGGTGGATGCAGGTGCAGGCTCTGTTGGATAACGGTAGGCAAGTTGTCAGTTATGTGTGCATACTTGGATGGCCGGGACTGGAGGACGACGGGGAAGGGATAGTGGGACTGTGGGAGAGGCAAAAGGGGGATGAGCCTAGCCTACCCGTTCATGCAAACGGTCTTCTTCTCTGGGCATGGAGTATCGTCACAACTGCAGAGAGCTTTTTGAGCAGAGAGTTGGGCAAGGGATAAGGTATAGTTGCTGAAGCCAGACGAGTCATAGGCGGCGGGGATGGCGGCGCAGGTCATGACCAGGCCAAGGAGGAGGAGCAAGAGGAGATAAGTAAAGGTCGTCATCATGACCGACTGGAGAAGGAAGCTGAGCCCAGTTGATGTAAGCAGGCCTGCTCTTAGGTTAAGCTATTGGTTGTAGTTGAGGTGTATGGAGATGTTGAACTAAGACGCTGGGGTGCTGAGGATTGCTAACGAGAGGACAAATTATCACGACGGACGTGGAAATTCTTCAACAGATATCCATATTTCTGGCGGTAGCCTCATGTCAACGCTCGTGATGTCGGTTCCAAAACGCCTATCCCTTTCCCTTCCTTCCAAGTGGACGGATACAATCATGGCAGGAGAACATACTTTCACTGCCACATACCGACAGTGTCGCCAGGCGTACCTACCCGAGCACCGGCCCGAACATGCTACAGGAAGAGCATAAACTGAGCATATGCCGAAGCATCCGGGAATATTGGCATCACATCTTGGGTGTGGATGGTGACCAACGTTTGACAGCCGGGTGTTTGGGGTTTGGGAGCTAGAACCAGTTTGTCAAAGTGGCAGACTACACGAGACCTCAGACCTGTAGTACACAGCTCAATCCTTCCGAAAGTTGGGAAGAGATACTTCGGGTACAGATGAAGCATGAACCACGTTACACCTCCGAAGCAGTATCTCGTATGAACAGATTGCCTAACACGAACGGGTACTACAACTATACTGAATGCTCCTCCAAGAAGCTTGGATAAATCTGTTACAAAGTCAAGGTGTGGATCAATCAAGACAGCAATCATCATTGACCTCATCAACGGAGGTGGTAAATCCAGAGGACCAAAGATGGGAGATGACAGGTTCGGCCCCCTTTCCAAGACGCTGAAGATGACGTGAGGACGAACCATGACCGCTGCCGTCGACACCGCTCTCTAACAGATTCCCATATTTTGCTTCTCATGAGCACTTCCCACGTCGTAAATACCGGAAATAAGCCAAACGGTTGTTTGTTGATGTCTCACATCCTCACATCTTCCCATACCAGTATCGCAGCTATCGCATACCCGGCTCTTATGCTCCGGCAGCCACTGCACATTCCACATTCCACATTCCACCATCACCACCACTCCAACACCACAACATCGCTTAAAGTGTAGAAAGAAATGCCATGGCCTTTTCTCAGAGTCAAAGTTTCATCCAGCAACAGGCCCATTGGTCCCAGCTCTTCGGCTCCGAGATTTTGGCTCATGGAAGGCATGTCGGGCAGGACATGTTCCTGCATTTGAACGTGGGATCGCCGTTGAGGTTTTGGGATCGGGTGCTTCACGGCGATACCATCGTACCACTTCATGTTGTCGATCGCCAACTGAAGGAATGCTGTGATTGATGATCGTTGTTTTGTTATGACCGTTGATAACAGCGTTGTCATGCAGCCGCAGCAAGTATTCTTCCGTCGCACTCGTTGACGACGGAGATAAATACCACCATCATCGTGATCCTTCCTCCTCACCTTCCACCAGCTCATCCTCGCCTTCATCCTCACCGGTCATCCATCATCTCGAGCTCAACCGTCACAGCCAAGTCGAAGTCGTCAAGATGAAGTTCTCCACCACCCTCGTCGCGACCTTCGCCTCCCTCTCCGTCGCCGCTCCCGCCGGCAGTCACCACAAGCGCCAGACTGACGACACCACCACCTCCACTTCCATCACTGACGTCCTCCCCGGCCTTACAGGCGAGGAGCCCATCGAGGACACTTCCTCTTCCACTTTATCCACCTCCATCTCCGACGCCCTTGCGGCCGCCAGCCCCAACGAGATCTACGGCGCCCCTCCCAGCGGCACCTTCCCCATTGAGCAAAACGACTTTACGGGCATCCAGGGAGTCCAATCCATCCCCGACGACAATGACATCGTCGACGCAGCCATCTCCAACCTTTCCGGCGCTGCGCCTCCCGTTCCTCTGACGACCGGCAGTCCCACCGTTGACGACGTCTTTTCCGCGCTTGACTTTGCGGATGAGGATGAAGACGACATTCCGGACCTAGACGTTGAGACGTTGACATCCCTTCCATCCCTCTCTCCACCGGCACCGCGACCACCAGCCTTGATGATGATGACGACGAGGTCTTGACTGAAGACGACGTCACTGTCACCGACGCCGAGGCGCCAGCGATGATTGATGCTGCTATTCGGTATGCGCAGCAGTTTCCTATCGTGCCGGTGCCGCTTAGCACTGGGACTCCTGAGATCTTTGTTGACCCGTACTTGGGTAACGCTACTGTCTTTGGAAACTCTACCGTCTCTACCTCTGATGAGGGTGCTGCCTCCGCGGCTACCACTGTGCATGGCACCGACCTCGTTGCTTCGTTGCAGGTCTTGAATGATGCTTTGGCTGCTTATCAGGGGTTAAACGAGGCTTCTTCTTCTGCTACTGGCACTGGCACTGGTACCGCTATCACCACTAGCGCTACTGACGCCAGTGTTGATGTCGATGCTGATGTGGATGCCAACACTGCTGCCCTCGCTGGCACTGACGCCCTCACCATGGCCGCTACCACCACCTCCAAATCCGCTGATGCCCTCATGAAGCGCAAAATCCAAATGCTAGGCGACGTCGTGCTCACCAGCATCCAAGCAATTCAGAAGCGGGCGGAGATGGCCGAGCAGGAGAACAAGAAGATGAAGAAGACAATGAAGAAGGTTCTTTGTGAGCGGGCGGCCATGGCTGGCATGACGTTTGCTAACAAGACGACGAGGAAGACTGTTATGGATAAGATGGGCAAGGGGGTTTTGGAGAGGTATGTGAATATGGTTGCTGGTGGGAACTAGAGCTAGAGGGGATCACTCGATCGTTTGATGATGAGGGACGATGGGAGGGAAGAATGGGGGCATGAATGGTGATGGATGGAGATGGATGGAGATGGATGGAGATGGATGGTGATGGATGGAGATGGATGGAAAAAACAGGTGATGGTTGAGTTGAGGTGCTGTTTTGAAGATTGGATGCTGGGGACGGGAAACTTGATGTTGGCTGGGTAAGGTAGTGAAGCTTCATATTATGAACTAGAAAACAAAGAATCAGGATATTGTTGACACTCCGTTACTGAATGAACCTCGAAGTGATGATGTCAGGGTCCACTGCCACCATCTTCTGGAGTTGAGACTTTTCGTCGTGATGCCGTCCGACCAATGGAGTGAGTGTCTGACGCCGATTCGACAATGGAGGTAAACTGGCTTCAATGTCAATGTACTCATAGCCATCGAGTGTCCAGTCATCGCCGATATTCACTCAATGACTCCGGCGGTGATTGAGTTTGTTGAAGTCAAGTTGCCAAGCCGCAATGTTGCAAAGTCAAAGTTTGTTGTTTCTCGAAAAAGAAGCTCAGCGTGGTCATTCGATAGCCTGCTGCCTGCCTGCGTCCACACTACACTACAGTATCCACTGTTACCCCGAACTGGGTGCGGCTCCACCTCGTTTATAGTTGGGGTAGGTTACCCCGCCGGCCAGTAGCGGTCCCCCAACCCGCGGCTCGCCTGCCCACAAAATAGCGGAAAACAACGGCAGATCAACCACGGCGGAGGAACGCCCGCTCGCCTAAGGGCCGCTGACAGGTGTCCAGAGAGGTTCTCATTGTTTGCTTGGTTCTTCCAGTTCTTCCAGTTCTTCCACTTTCGGCCTCACTGTGAGTTCAATGTCTGGGGAAGAACAAGGCACGGGGATAAGAAATGACATATGGGATAGTAGAGATATTTTCCCAAAAGAACAAGAAAGGTGTGCTGCTGTCACTGATATCTGCATCCCTAGATGATATCTCGAAAGTGACTGGAATCATTCCGCTCCCCATGCCTTCTGTTCCTATCATTGTCCTTTTCATCGCAATGGGTACAAAAGTTGTATCCACAACAATGCACCTCCAAGACTCTCGTCTCGCTCGAGTGTCCTGTTCTACCAAGCCAACTCCATGTCAAACCAACCATTCAATCACTAGATATCTTATCATTAGGTAACCTCCCCTCAGTCCGTCACTCACCTGCCGTTAGGGGTTCACGAACTTCCCAAGGTTGACCTAACGGTGAACCCCCCTTGCTTTATCTGCTTGCTCCCGTTGGTCAATTCCCCTCAATTGCCTTTCACTTACAAGTCACCTGAACAAAGGTCTTAAGCCGAAGCTGCACTGACCTGTCCCCCCTTGTTTGTGCTTGTCACCAAGACTTCCAGGTTCCTCTCACGTGCTCTCCCCGATCAAATAAATACCTTTTGGCGCCCATTTTCCTTTTCGTTGCCAGTGTTACTGTTACAACATACATCATCTCATCGCAAAATCAAAGGCCGGTCTTCGGAGTTGTTTTTTTTTGTTTCTTGCCTTCCCTTACCTGACCCCTGTTCTTCTTGAAACCCGGGGAAATCGTGGGGTAGCGCATGTCTCGGTAGACTTGAGCCGAACTCCTCCTCCAAGCTCCAAACATCTCCTCATCTACCCCGCTCTCCTATCTCGGGATTAAAAGCATCTCGTTCTTCACACTACTTGCAATTACAACCTACCTTTGCATTGTCATTACCTCGATCTCGACATCACCATCAATAAAAAGTCACACAACTCGAGGAAAACCACCGCATCCTACATCGACAACCACCGCAACCATGTCCTCCCAACCCCCACCCCTCACCCAGCCCATCGCCAACGCCGCCTCCTCCTCGCCCGACATGTACACCACCTCCTCCGCCTTCTTCGAAGCCCTCTTTTCGGCCGGCGTCTCCCACGTCTTCGTCAACCTCGGCTCCGACCACCCGTCCATCATCGAAGCCATGGTGCGCGGCAAGAACTCCCCCTCCACCTTCCCTCGCATCATCACCTGCCCCAACGAAATGGTCGCCATGTCCATGGCAGACGGGTACGCCCGTCTAACCGGCCAGCCGCAGGCAGTAATAGTGCACGTGGACGTCGGTACCCAGGGTTTGGGCGCTGCGGTGCATAACTCTTCTGCTGGTCGCGCCCCGGTTCTCATCTTTGCTGGTATTTCCCCGATCACCATTGAGGGCGAGCTACGCGGGTCAAGGACCGAGTATATTCATTGGATCCAGGACGTTCCGGACCAGAAACAGATTGTTGGCCAGTACTGTCGGTATGCGGTGGAGCTGAAGACGGGCGTGAATGTTAAGCAGATGGTCAATCGGGCGTTGCAGTTCGCTACGAGCCAGCCGCAGGGACCCGTGTATCTGTGTGGATCGAGAGAGGTCATGGAGATGGAGATCCCCAAATATGAGCTCAACCAGAAACATTGGAAGCCTGTGGAGCTGGGGGCTTTGGGGAAGGGAGCGGTGCAGGAGATCGCGGCGGCGTTGGCGGGGGCTAAGAAGCCGCTTGTTGTTACTGGGTATGCGGGCAGGAATCATGCTATTCCTGGTGCACTGGTGGAGCTGGCTAATACGGTTAAGGGTTTGAGGGTGTTGGATACGGGAGGCAGTGATATGTGTTTCCCTGCTGATCATCCGGGTTGGTTGGGGTTGAGGTTTGGCAACGATCAGTCTGTGGCCGAGGCGGATGTCATTCTTGTGCTGGACTGCGATGTGCCTTGGATCCCGACACAGATTAAGCCTAGCAAGGACGCGAGGATCTTCCATGTCGATGTTGATCCCTTGAAGCAGGTCATGCCGGTGTTCTACCTCGAGGCTGAGGCGAGGTACAGGGCTGATCCGTTGACGGCTGTGGAGCAGTTGACGGAGAAGTTGAAGACTGATGAGGAGCTGAAAAAGCAATTGGAAAGTGAGGAGCGCGAGAAGAGATGGAAGGAGCTCCAGGCTCAGCACAAGCAGAAGCTGGACGAGATTTCCCAGCGCGCTCAACCCCTTGAAAACGGAGAGTATGGCACTGGCCATCTGTGCAGGAGGTTGAGGACTTTGTGCCCCGAGGATACCATCTGGGCTATTGAGGCTGTTACCAACACGCTGTTTGTACACGATAACCTCCAGCCTACGCTGCCTGGTTCGTGGATCAACTGCGGTGGTGGTGGTCTCGGTTGGTCTGGCGGTGGTGCCCTTGGTATCAAGCTGGCTTCTGAGGTCGAGGCCAAGAAGAAGGGTGGAAAGGGCAAGTTCGTCGTGCAGATTGTCGGCGACGGAACGTTCCTGTTCTCGGTGCCGGGTAGCGTGTACTGGATCTCCAAGAGATACGGCATTCCCGTCTTGACTATTGTTTTGAACAACAAGGGTAAGCCACCTCTGTTTTCTCTCTCCGCTGTCAAATGTCGAAACTAACACATGACAGGATGGAACGCCCCCCGTCGGTCTCTGCTCCTGGTCCACCCCGACGGACTCGGATCCAAGGCTTCCAACGAGGACATCAACATCGAGTTCAACCCGTCGCCCGATTATGCGGGCATTGCCAAGGCGGCTGCGGGTGGTGATTTGTTTGCGGCTAGGGTTGACAACACGGCAGATCTGGATCGGGTGTTGAAGGAGGCCATTGCCGCGGTCGAGGGGGGACAGAGTGCCGTGGTTGACTGCAAGGTGGCCATGGGATCTTAGGTACACTAGTTATGTTAGTCAAGCTTCAAAATCGCATCCACGTGTTTTCCCCGGAAGCCGGAGCGTGCCGTTGATGGTGGATTTGCATCTGTTATGCGAGAAGCGATGCCGTCGTCCGTCTCTTGGCAACGGCGATTCGCTCTTGTAGTTCAGTTTTCGTCTGGTGGCATGTTTGGTGACATAGTTGAGCTGTATATGTTAGCGGCTTCGAGTCGGTGTCGGAATGGTTTGCGAGTAAAGACGAGACAGCTGTTCAAGTGGCGCCTTTTGTAATTATAACCGTTGATGTGTTCGAAAGGAGCATGCTGTGGTTGCGATCCGAAGGTAACACTGCGCCAGAGGGTGGCCATGATGCTACCTCTTTGCATCCCCGCGATCCAGCTGTTCGTCCCGTCTGTATCGTGGTCTTCTCCTGAACCAACCTCAAGTCCAACCCCGTCTGAACACTGACATGTGCCATGACACATGCTCGTGTCTTTTCCCGTTGATTTCTGCATATATCCATCATGTCGTGCTTCCTCTGCCGTTCATTGTTGTCTTGATCGAACCACCTCTTGATTGCCGGCGCCACAGCCATCATTGTTGCCCCTCCTTCCTCTTTCTGCAAACTGACGGATCAGGGGTTTCGACCGGCCGGCAGATGCTCGACAATATTCGCCACCCTCTCCGCTGATCATTGGTACCCCAGAGGTTCTCAAAGGGTCTCGAACACGGCGATTCATTTCCTCGTGATTTAGTTGCGAGTCAACGGTGCGCGTTCTTCCGTCGAGTCGTGCAACAGGTTCGGGGAGCTGTCACATTTGATGTCGCAAAGGTTTTGAGGGAGATAAACGCGGGATGACGGTATGTTGCGAATGTTGATCGTCCTTGGCTTGCGCAATCTTGCTTCGTTCTGGTTGTCTTGAGGGAGGGAAGAAGAAGTCTGGGAAATCATTTGGCAATTGCAGAAATTGAAAGTCTTGCTGCGCTGAAGAAAGAATTCGCGCACGGACGGCAGCGCAAGACAGACATGAGAAGAATGACAGCGGCAGTCAGCGCTATAACCACTAACAATTAAACTCAAGTAGAATCATCCCATCTTCTTCCTCTCCCGCCCAACCTTCCCCGCGCTCATCCTACTTACACGACACGAGACCACGGGTTCAAAAACGCCGTCTGATCCTTCTCCATCAGATTCCCCTCTTTATCTCGTCCAGTTCTCCTCGACTGAATTAAACTGCCGCCGTCGTTCAAGATCGCCGACGATATTACAAGTTCACGATTTGCCGTCTTCCGTATCTCGGCAACCGACTATCAACGATCGGTTCTCGGTCTTTTTGTATTGAAACCGAAACCGTCACCGAGGTCAACACCTTCCAGTGGCCCGAATCTCGAACAAGTCGCCTCCTCCAACAGGAGACATCTATCCGCAGACAACTGGAACCACTGGAGAACAATTGCTGGAGTTTGACCGGAGTCAAATCTCACTGACAAGGACCCGCTCGGCACGGCGCTAACGGTTCAACGACTCCATCCGGTGTCCATCCACCTGACAAGGCTAGCAAGCCGACGATACCACCCGAGATAGCGGGCTGCGATAGCGCCAAACGAATCCATCCAGTAGCGCGCCAGCCGAACTCTGCGGCGACAAGTGGAGGTACAGGCGAGACCCTGACAAGACGGAGAAGAGATCGCCAGTCACGTCCTCCTTGAATTCCAAGGAAGAGACGGGCAGGGTTGGCACGACTATAAGGAAACAAGAGATCATGAGATATTGTGTCGCACGCCGTTGCAGGATACACAACTTGTCCTTCTTTCGACACCCTCCGTGGCCGACCTGAGTACCGACCTTAGAACGAGCGACTTTCCGACGACCACCGACGGGTCTTCTCCAAACTGCGACAACCGCTAAAGATTGCACCAGCGCAATTTCCTCGTTCGACTCCAGTTCTTCTCTCACAACACCACCACGACTGCGAACCTACGACGACCTACGAAATCTTCACCTCGACAACGTCAAGTCGACGATACCCCCTGTCGTTCTTTGGCTGTTCGAATATCAATATCATACCCGTCGCTAAAGATTGACAAATCACTCATTGTCACGCGACCAATACTCTCTGCCTATCGCTTTCCACCGCGCGCAACATTTTCGACTTGCTCCTCTTGCTACCATCGACATCATTACCCTCTCGACGAGAAGCTTTTCCAGACAAACGATACCCAAGCGAACGCAATCGCATCCCATATACACCATGTCACCCAATCCCGAACATAGTGCTCCGGCACATACCGATCCTCCGGCTGCCGACGCCGAACAAAAGTCCGACTCGAGCGCCCCGGCTTCTCCTCCTCCGGCTCCTGTCCCCTCAGCCGACCCAAGGCTCTTTCGACAAATAACACAACAAACCACCGGGGGCTCCGACGAAGACGTTGATGACATCTATAAAGTCTCTCCCCTAGCCGCCCTCAAGCTCCTCAGTGCCGGCATCGAGACCCTCGTTTCCCTGACCGGCGACATCCCGCCCACTCCGCCTCCACGATCCCCAACCATCCCTCACATGCGCGGCATGGAAGCCGAGAAACAGAGCATCGTACGGTCCAATTCCAACAAGAACCTCGCCAGCCTTTTGCAGAACGCGACCAATTCCCCACGGAGACCCTTCAGCCCGGCGCCGCAACGGCATCCCCATCCACCGCCTTCAAGAGAGGGCCACAAAAAGTCGGAATCAATAGACGGCGTCCAGCTCCGCACCCCTAACCCGACCCCACCACCGGCCAATGCCAATTCCTCGTCGCACGACAACCTCCAGCCCTACATCATCGTCGGCGAAAACTCCCAACCGCTCAACACCCAACACTCGGCCATAACCCGCAAGTTCTACTCTCGCCTGCCCCCGCCCATCTCCATAACCGATTACCTCCTGCGCATCCACCAGTACTGCCCCATGTCCACGGCTGTCTACCTTGCCGCGTCGCTGTACATCCACCGTCTGGCCATCATCGAGCGCGCCATCGTCGTTACCAAGCGCAATGCCCACCGTTTACTTTTGGCAGGTATACGAGTCGCCATGAAAGCTTTGGAAGATCTGAGTTATCCGCATACCAAGTTCGCCAAGGTCGGTGGAGTGTCAGAGACGGAGTTGGCGCGGTTGGAGATCAGTTTCTGCTTCTTGGTCGGGTTTGAGCTGAGGGTGGACGAGGAGGCGTTGAGAGGACAATGGGAGATGTTGAAGTCGGGTGTTGAGGCGTGGGAAGGGGTGGAGCATGATTTGTATGGGAAACGAGAGGTGATTACGTTGAGGAATCCGCCGCCGGGGAGGCACCAGGCTGAAGCTGCTGCTGAGGCGTGAGAGGTTACGAGGGAGGGTGGAGGGACTGTTTTGAAGTGTCTGGGATTCGAATAATGATGTGGAGGCTGTCTTGTTGCAATACTCGGCCTTAAGAACAAACGCTAGGGGGTAACTTGGCAACGGCTGCCACTTAGCAGAGAAGGATGGCCTTAAGCGTGTGCCGTTTCACGGGGATGGCTGTCTTGAGCTACGTCCCTCATCACCGTTGAAAGGCCTGATATTTCCCTTCAACCTTGTCGTTTTTGTCCTTTGTTCGGAGCATATATCTTTAGCCATAATCATGCGAAAACGGTCAGTCATGCAGCAAGCTGTGTTGTGCCCGACTGCTCGCCTTCTCTGGATTGATACCCTATGTCTACGAATACGCAGTATCATTACTTTTTCCCACATCATCTACGCTCCGAATGATCACTATATCCCTGCTTCTACTCGCAATACTAGCGACTCTAGATCTGTTAAGACCTGGGTCAATCTGGGTCATGACGAGGAAATCCTAACCATGATTCATGTTATCTTATCAGGTCTCTCGCTTATCGCCGGCATATTGCTGTCTGGCGTTCGATGAACCAACAACTTCCAACTTTACAAGTTCCAGCTAACAAATTGAGGTCAGAAAAAAATAGGTGGGGAATCACTTCAATTGTGTTGTTTGATGAGGTATCTCCGGTTAAAAGATCACAATAACCTCATTCCCTTTGGTCCGTCCACCGATCGATCCATTTCTCCATATCCATTACCGTCATCCGCCATCCGAGTCATCAAACCATTCATTCCCGTCCCGAAATACCACAAAAAGAAACCGTTCCGTCATAACGTCATATCATCTGCTCTTCTCCATGCTCGATGGTCCGGTGAGGCCGGTGAGTCTGAGTAGTGATCTACTCAGTCAAACCCATCTGCTCATCGCTCGGCTCCTGGTACGTGCCCGCCGACTTGATAGCGTGTCGAGTCCTCTCGCCGATAATGTTGGACTTGTCAATGGCTTCGGCTTCGTCCTTGGCTGTTTCGTTACAACATCAATTAACATTGGTCCATTCACATTTCTTTTGTTTTTTCCCATGACTCCATCCATTCTCATCATTTCCGCGAATATGACTATCAAATCTCCATCCACAACCTCATCAGCTCGCAAAGGAAAGAAGGACTCATCACACCTAATCCTGACTCAACCCCCAACAGATAACGCGCAGCCGCCTAAATACAAGAACGACGATCAAAATGTTGTTGTTTCTTACCTAGCTGCTTGTCACTATCCGCCTCCTCCGGCCTGATGGGGTCCTCAACAGGCGCGTCGTCGTCGATGACGGGGACGGCTTCGGTGCTGCCCTTGGTCTTGTAAGAGGGGTCATTGACTTGGCCCGCGGGAGCCTCGTTGGGGAGGTTGGCGCCGGGCTTGTCGTCTGCGTAGGCGTGGGCTACTTTGGACATTTTGTGATTTGGTTTGTGGTTTGGGGTTGGGTTTGGGTTGGTTTTGGTGGGTGTGAGTGGTGATGTTCTTGAGGTTGTCTTGATGACGGCTTAATTTGGGTATCTCGATTTGATAGAGGTGAGTCTAGGTTGTTGGGAGAAAGACTTGAGATCCAGGGTCTTGCTCGTGATTTTATATCTCCCGTCCTCGGCTCCCCCACGGCCTTAACGGGCATCTCCGTCCCATCTTGAACCCTTCAAAGAAGTCCAACGCAAGATGGATGACAAAACGATTACATCTCCAATCCTCAACCCCCAAGCCACCGTGACAAGCAAACGATCACCAAACGTACCTCCAGTGCTCAATCGTTTTCATCCCTTCTTTTTACTGCCAGGCAGCATCACCACCTGAAGTCGTGACGTCGGTTCTTTCCCCATATGGGAATTACTGCCAGTTATTTCTGATATTTGGAGAATCCCATCGTTATTAGTGATCGATATTCGGTGCTTTTTGTTTGTTCTTGCCGTTCTTTCTTTGACTGAGCTCAGTGAGAGTGCCCCCGCCCCGCCGCCCGCGGATTAACCCGACCCACTTTCTGCCACTTACACGCACATATTCACACGCCAAACAAAAGCCCGGCAAGAACCTTTGCGTCTGCAGCTGCCTTGTAGTTGTCATCCCTTCCTTCCTGTGTGCAGCTGTAACATTGAAACTAATTGGAAATTTCTCAGATTGATATTTCGTTTGGCTGGGAGCCCGCAAGGAAGGGACGAGTGAGTGTTCTGTGGGGATTGGATGACAATAGATGCATTGGCCCGTGGCATAACGTCATGACGGTGGTGATAGCATCATCGATTAGACAGAAGGGAAGGACTGGAGTCAGCGAACAAACAAACACCACTTTACAGTCAGATGAAAGGGATGCGGTGAGGAAACCCTCCGGCTTGGTTTGTTAATAGTAGGCAGGTAAGATGACTGGAAAGGTGAGTGGAAGGTCGTGGAATAGCAAACTTGGCGCGAGAAGGGTATATCAGGCTCTCCAGCTCCAGCTGCTTGAAGTTCAACTGGCAATAACTTCCACGCACAACACCAAGCCAAAACCGTGAAACAAAAGCTCTCACAAGAAGGTCACAAGCTCTCAAGACATCACCCACAAGATACCCCTTCCACACAACAGAAACCAAAAAGACAGTAGCAAAAATGGTTGACTACGACGCCATCAACTCTTCTGATATCCCTCCCGAGGTTCCTCGCAGCGAGGACTCAGCCAAGGACCCCGAGAACGTCCTTCGCGGCCACAAGGCGACGCTGAACAATCCTCGTGAGTATCTATCTATTCGATTTCCTCTGTTTTGCCCTTTGCCGCCACCTTCTCCCTCAACCAATTACCTACTGACACAGAATAATTATAGAGCAATCCGACGCCGCAAAGGAGCACTCCAAGCAAGTCCTCGAAAACGCAGACGAGCCCTACGACCAGTCCTCTTCGGACACCAAGACCACCGACCAGGGCGAGAAGGACCCGGGCAATGTCGCGAGGGGTTTGAAGGCTGCTATTAGCAACCCTGGTGTTTCTGAGGGGGCCAAGGAGAGTGCTAAGGAGAAGTTGAAGTCTTTGGGGGAGTAGATTTGATTGTTCGCCGTTTGTGTTGAAAAGACCTGACGATGGTTTTTGGCGATGATGATGCGGACCTGATGGTAGGGAGCGGAAGGATGGATGGTTCGTGGTGTACGATATGGATGATGGAACGATCACATGATGACATGACTTGAATGGAACACCACAAGTCCCCAAAGCTGCTCCGGACCGACCAGTCCACAGCCGTGATGTTCGCCAAGTGTTGTTTCTGTCGACTTGTCCTCAATCCCTTCGTTACTTCATCCTATGCCTCCTACCTACTAGACATATTCATCCCCGTCCTACTTCCCAACCCTAACAACAACCTTCCCCTTCGCCCTTCCACTTCCCAACCGTTCATAAGCCTCAACCAACTCCTCCATTTCCCAAACCTTATCCCCATCCACCACTCCCCTCTCAATAACCCCCTCCTTAATCAACTTGCCAACCTCCCTCACCGTCTTTTTTGAGGGTAACAACAACAACAACTCAAACTCCCTCGGCGTACCGCCCAGCCACGTCGGCCTTAACTTATGCAACACATACGGGACAATCCCCTGCGACGGTCCCCCAACGATACTAATAAACTTGCCCTGGCCCTTCAAATACCCCGGCGAATTCGTAAAAATCGACTCATCCCCGGCGCAGTCAAAGATGAAATCCAGCTTCTTTTCGTCCCCCTCCGCCCCAAAAACCCTCTGCAAAAATTCAGTAACAGGCGAATACGTCTTATAATTAATAACCGTCCCTCCACACTTTTTCACCAGCTCCTCACCCTCAGCAGAGCCGGTGGTTCCCCATACCTGCGCGCCCTTTCCTTTCAGGATCTGGACGAGGATCGACCCGACACCGCCGCTGGCGCCGTTTACCAGACACCGCTTGCCTTTCCATCCTTCCTCGGTGTCTGGAGGGACGCCGGCGGTTTGGACCATCAAAATGGCCGTTTGGCCAGCGATGCCAAAGAGTCCGACTGTTTCTTCCCCCTTTATTTCCTTCCCTCTTGCCCCCCAGACATCAGGCACTTTACACACCAGCGAGCTCTCAACCACGAGAAACTCGGCGAGGGAACCTTTACCATGGAAGACGTCACTGGCTGAGAGAGCACCGGCTACCACGTCGCCCAGCTGAAACTCGGCGGTGTTGACAGCGGGTCCGGCAGCGACGACGCGGCCGCAGAAATCGAAGCCGGGGGTGGGGTTGCGACGGAAGGGAAGCCAGGGGGGGAAGAGGCGGAGGATGTGCAGGTCCACGGGGTTTAGGGATGCGTGGGTTATGCGGAGGAGGAGGTTGGTGCCTGTGGTTGTGGGTGTAGTTGGTGTGGGTGGTGGTTGGGTTGTTGTGGACGATGTGGCAGAGGGGGAAGATGACGGGGCAACGCCGGGAAGGGGGTGAGAAGGGGAGAGGGTGAGACCGAACGAGGTGAGTGTCCAGGCGCGCATCTTGGCTGGGAGATTTGGTGTTGGTGAGGTGGATTCCATGGTTGTTGTGACTGATGTTGGTGTTTGGTTTATGTGCGTGGTAGTGATGCGGTTTGGTGTTGATGTTGTTGTTGTTGGTCAGGGTGATGAATGTTTGGATGGATTGGATTGGAGCAATGTCCGAATTCAGGGGTCGAACTGGCGACTTGGCGATTCGAGGGAAGTGAATCGGGTATCTCAATAATGATGGTCTGTTTGGATGAAGCAGGTCTTGTCGCTCGCGAGATAATAGTGAGGATTGATGGTTGCGGTGTCTGAAAGGAAAGAAGAAGTGCTCACGACCGTATCATTTATACTGACGTTGGCAACAGAAGGAAGGTGAAACGTAAACACTCCCTGGTGAAACGAGACAGTTGGGTCAGTACCAGGCCGAGCGGGAGCTTGGACCACCCGGTCCCGGGCCCCACCTTTCCACCGAGCACCGACGGGGACAACCCGGCCCGGCCTTATCCGCTCCTCGTTCAATGTCCAACGACAATCACGCAGGTCTATTGCAGGCTAACGACGATGAAATTTAGTCCAAAAAGTATACCTTACTAAAACGAACTCCAGACAGAATCTCTTCCATGAACTCAAAGACTAAGCTTACACCGTGACACATGGCTTTGAGGTGGACCTTTGATAGAAAGGTTGTAGTACCCATGTGAAGAGCCCCAGATATGGCTTGGAAGAATAGGTAGGAGAGTGATCAGGATGTGTACAGGCTATTACTTGGTTACTTGGATGCTGAGGTACCAAGCGTGAGCTACAGCATGAAAAATAGGTTTTTTAAGGTTCGCACCTTTACCATCTCCAAAAGTAAAGGGAGATGGTATTGGAATGGGTGCAAGTTAAGGCTTTAAGGCTGTTATTGGAATGGGTAGATCGATGGAGGGGGATGGGAAACAAAGGAGTGAGCAAGAAGCAAACCGTCAGTGCTCTCTTTGGTCGTCATAACCCGGCATTTCACCAGCGGCTCAGACCTGTCTCCTGAGAAAGCGTCTCTACTCAAGAACAAGAGGCTTCGCCCTGGTAGGGGAGGATAAAACCATTACAAGCTCGGTTGAGGAGACAACAATCTCGGGCAGGCTTTTAGTGCTTTCGTCATTCGGTTTGCTTGCTTGCACCCAGTCATGGAACAGTCTGTTGTTCGGGTGAAAGAACATGAGATCAAGAATGAAACAGTAGAACAGCCAAACGCATCAAAGCACGACACGCAGGCTGGAAGATGAACATGATCCATTACTCTCTAGCGCCATATAAACCATACCCTAACCCATAAGCAAAGAAACCAAGAAGAAAAGTAGATACCCGCTGACCACAGACAGCTCAGTGCTTCCTCCGCGACGAGCTGCTGACCAACTTCTTCTTCACAGCCTTGGGTATCTTCTCTTTCCTCTTCTCCCTCTTGGCCTCCTTGACCGCCGCCTTGTGTTCCTTCTTTTCGTTCTTGTCAATGAACCTCTTGCCTCTTGGTGTTCCTTTTCGAACCTGCTCTCGTCGTCCTCACTCTCACTGCCCTCTTCTTGTTCCTCGGATCCCTCCTCCTCCTCGGAACCCTCCTCTTCGTCATCCTCCGCCGTCTTCTGCACCACAGAGTTCGCCAACAAGTTCTTGTACACCAAATCCTCGCCCTGACCCTCATTAACCTTGGCGACATCCTTCTCGATGTCGTAAACCTCGTTCAGCGTCTTGGGGATGTACTGATTCCTGAACACCTCGTTGTCGACCTCCTGCTCGGCGCGGGCCTCCTCGGTATCCTCGATCTCGACTCTTGTGGCGTACAGCTGCTCGACCGTCTCCTTCATGCCGGGTTCCTCCGAAGGTCCGTGGGGGTTGACGATGAAATCGAAAATAGTGCGATCGGGCAAAGTGTCGACGCCCTTTCTCCTGAAGAAGTCGCCAACGTTCTTGATATCCATGCGCAAAAACTCGAGCGAGTGGGGATGGTCGTGCTCGACGGATTGCGAAACATCGATGATGTACAGCTTCTTGTTGTTGTAAAGGATGTTGTATTCGGACAAATCAGCGTGCACGAGACGGCAGACTTGGTACAGCTTGCGCATGAGTCCCAAGAGCTGGATGTACAGGTCGCGCCATTGGTCGTCGGCGTCGTCGCCTGAGATGGGAGCGTCGCGCAGACGGGGGTAGGCCCAGCCCTTGCGGTCGCCAAGGAAGCTCATGACCAAAACGTGCAGCTTGAGCTTGATGGGTTCCGGGCAGGGAATGCCGGCTGTGTATAGACGGCGCAGGTTGCGGAACTCCTTCTCGGCCCAGAGCTTCACCATCTTCCTGTTGTTGCCCTTTTCGCTGCCGCTCTTGAAGCGGTGTTCGCCCGTGATGTACTTCTCGCGATCCTTGAACACCAGAATGGCTGTCTTGTAGACCTTGATGGCCTTGTGTACCGGGGCAGAACCGTCTTCGGGATGGAGGACAGCACCGTAGACGTTGGCTTCCTTGCCTGTGCTGATGGCACCGTGGATCTCGGAGACGAATCCCTGGTTGATCATCTGCAGCAGGATCATGCGGGTGCGCTGGTCGAGTACGAGCTCCGAGGTGGCGCGGTCGGCCTTGTCCTTGTTACGTTCGGCGGGCCCGGAGGCATTGTCGAAGGCGTCGATACGAATCTTTCCGGCGAACTTGGAGAGGGCGGCGATCTGGTCGTCGACGCGGGCCGAAGTGTTGGCAGTAGGTTTTTGTTGTTGTGCTTGGGCCTGGGCCTGCTGGGACTGTTGGGAGTTGGTACCGCCGGCGCCATGTTGTTGGCGGTTATACGACTTGGTCAAATCGGCGCCACCGTCTTCGTAGTCGAGGTCATCGTCAGATTCAAAGACATCTTGGAGGTCGTCCTCGTCTTCCTCTTCGATCGCAAGGTTGTCGAGCTGGGCGGTGGTGTTGCCGAGGTCGACATTCTGGTTGTTGGTCGCCGGTGTGGTCGACGTGAGCTCTGGTTGGGAAGTCATCTTGTTGTTGCCGGGTCTGCTTCCGGTTGTTGTTAGCAGGTGGTGATGGGGAGGCAAGTTCAACGGGGCGCTGGAGACAAGATGGAAAGCGTCATAGAAGGTCGACTTTCATTCCATCCACTGGCAATTTTCTTGGTGGGGCCGAGCTTACCTTATCTTATCGAGATGCGGGGTGTCGGCCAGCTTTGCCAAGAGTTTGGGGTTCGTAGGGCTGTTTTCAAGATTCAGGGTTAGGGTCGTGTGTGAGGGCTGGTTCTCGGCACTTGAAGATGGATGAGAGAGAAAGAGATGTTAGTTGAGGTTTGAGTTGGAGGATCTGCCCATGTTTAAATATTTGTCTGTTGAATAATGAAAATTTGTAGTGATCATTATTTCATGCATCTCCGGCCTGCTGCGAAGTTCGTTTTTTTGGGAAACGGACCTGGGGCTGCGCCGATGTCAATCACTGCAGTTCGCCACTGTGCCTGTCGCCTCCGCCAAGCTACACTGCACTGCAGTACATACATAAAGACGATGATGCTGACGCGATCATTCTGATTCATTCCAATCCTCTTATACAATCCATTGGACATTTCGATATCCACGCGGAATAAATCTACCGGTGACTCAGTTTGCGGGCATACAAGTTTAATTCGGGATCTTCGCAACATTTCATGCTTGACACGAGGCTGCATGCGTATAGTACGTATCAAGTGCAGATACTGACACTAACAGCACGGTTCCTTACAGCAGCACCCAGCTGTTGGTCCAAATCGGCAGCAACCCGAAAGCCAACCTTTACTTCCTCCGGCCGATCTCCAAGCCATGAAGCAACATCATAGTTTAGGGCTGACAAGGAAATCTATCCTCATCTACGTAGGTTGTGTTAAAAGTGAGGGGATGTGCAGACTCTACCACTAATAGTACGCTTAACTTATGACTATAACCCAGCTGTTAGTGGTAACCGGTCTCGGCTATGACAACATTGATGACACCCAAGTTCACCACTCAAAATGCCAAAATCCAACCAGCAGAACACCACGAGAATTAGCAAATTATCAAATCCCGGATCCAGTAACGGCTTATTGTCGATCCAGGCAGCTGTCGTATATTTGGAGTGTTCGATTTGGTCAGTTGTTGTTGGTCTCTCAGGTTGCTCTCGCAAGAACCTACTCTCGGGTGTCATCCATTTTGTCCTGGGCAAGCCGGTGCATATCCCATTCTTCACACCACCTACTACTACCTTACCGTTCGTCAACCTGGAGTTCAAGCTTTGGGTGCCTGTGGACAAGAATGGGCTGGAAACTTGGGATCAAAAGTCAACCCGCCCTGACTTCCTGGCTTGCCTCCGGAACGTGGTCATATCCGGTGCACCATGGCATTGAGCTTTGCGAAGATTCGATTCGTTGTTGTTGATGGCTACCAAGTCCAACAGTCGACTCAATGGATCACTGACCAGCCAGTTTTGGCAGTGAAATTTCCTGAGTTACAAGCTCGATGATATAGCAGTTGATGTCCACCCATATTTATACCGGGCATACAAGTATAACACATGTGTAGCACATAGTTCCCAATATATATGTCTCAACTCCCAATTATATTCGCAGGGTCCAGAATCCGATTCGAAATTCTCCTACCTCCCGCAGGTTGCCCAAACGGACCAAGAACTGCCTAATATACTCACCATGTGCTACACCTACATAGAATATTATTACTGCCGAAACGCCGCCAACTGTCCGGAGGGTTATGGCTGGGTCGACCACGCAGGGTGGCTATACGGGGAATTTTCCAAACAGGCCAGAAAGTCGGACCGCTGTTACGCTGATAGAATGCATTGTCCGACTGGTAGGGTGGCGGTGTTAATGCGCGAATGCACCCAGAGAAGAATTGACAAGTTTTGTCGTGCTTGCAAATTGGCAGACCCGGCAGCCAGATTCACCCATGGCTAGGTAGGTAGTGTGGGTAGTAAGGGAAGAGTAAGGGGGAGGAGATGGGTGGTTAGGAACGCTTGGTTAGGAACATGAAGTAAATAGGAATATGGGGTCAAGAGTAGGTAGGAATCGCTTCGGACACTCCGTTTCGTTACCGAAACTCAACAAAGATCTGGTTGGTACTCTTCTACTTCAAGTCAGGGTTGGATTCAAATGTTTGGACCTAGCGATAGGCAAGGCTCATGCACCTATCCAACCTCCATGGAGTCTTTTGTCACATTGACATTGCAGCAAAGCAACATCATTGTTTTGAATCTGATTTTACCAGCACGTATGTGGCTCAACCACTTGTTTGCACTACGTGTATGGTTCATGAAGCGGGTTGGCAACTTGAGGCTTGCTTCCTTTCATCCAGCTCTCTCCAGTATCGACGTTGTTCCTTCAAACCATTCCTGATCGCTTCCGTGTCTTTCCCTTCACTGTTTCCTCGTTCCACTCCATATTGTTCTTTGTTCCACTAGGGCCTTTCCCTTCTTAATGTTTCCTTCTTGTTCACCTCCTTTCTGCTGGGAGGCTTCGGTCCATACTTGTTGACAACTTCATGGCTCACGCCCTACGTCTAACAACGGGTCCGATGGATCATTGACCAGCCCAACCCGACAATCAACTCATTCACCCAATTCAAGTTCAACAGCAGTTGACATCGAAATGGATTATAAATACCAGATATCTCTAGGTCAATAAAGTTTCTTTCCTTCGTCTCATGTCAAATTGTCACAGCAAAGACATTTCTACCTCATCTACACTTCAATACTCACCATGTGCTATTCCTACCCGGTTACCTACTATTGCCGAAACGGCGCCATTTGTCAGGGAGGCTATGGCTGGTTCACCGTGGAAGGGGATCCGTGGAAGCAATATTACAAGAGCACTGTAGAGTATGTCTACTGCGAGTTCGACTGGTGGCCCTGCCCTAGTGGTAGGTATGCGACATTCAGGCCTGAATTGGAATATAAAAGGATGGATGAACTGTGTCCTCACTGCGAGAGTGCAGCTGGCAAGCTATTTAGGGGGGGTATGGGTTTTGAGGGGGGAGTGACGGTATAAGATTATTTCAAACTTAGCTGTGTTTCTGGAATTTATTACCATGGATGCGTTTCTTTCTGATTCACTTCTTTTCATGTTGAATTTTGAACGACATTTCATACCAAAGAGCTTGTTCCATTCGTGTCAAATGGTCTCGAGAACTCGAGACAGCTATTTGACGCTACCCTGTGGACACTTGACTGAAGTATGCAGTTTATATGCTTTTCTCTCTTTTTATATCATTTCCTCATTTAGCCATTCTCGTTCACATTCTCATTTCCCCTCCCTTCCTTATTATCCACCTCCATGTCCTCCTCCCCTCCTACCTCAACGCACTGCCAGCGCAGAAGCACTCATGCCTTCCAGCTCCCAGTAGTCCCGCACGTCCAGCAAAAATCCGTTACCGTGTCACAATCCCGCCACTTTTCATACTCTGCGAACCCACCACTTTGACACAAGGTCGAATATCCCAAGGTTTCTCCTTGAGCAGCGAGAGCAACTAAGCATCTGACTGTGCGCACTTCCTACCCGAAGAACCGCTTGTTCAGTTCCCCGGCGCGGGTAATTCGGCCGTAGCCGGCTGAACAGAAGGCGGACATTCGGCAGTATTTGTATTCGTGGTAGTAGTAGCACATTGTGAGGAATGGTGTATGTTCGGTTGTCGTCTGGAGTTTATGGGAGAGTGGGTGAACTTGACCGGTTCCTGGCACGATGCTGTTGTCTACCCCTAGAGGTATATAAGGTACTTGACGTCGTCTTGGGCTCAGGCCATGAGTCGGACATGGCACAGAACCAATTTGACGAAACACGTCCAGTCCTTGTTTGTCATGTTCAAACTACGGTAGCGTTCTCCGACATTTGGATTGTGTTCTGAGCCGATTTCGTTTTACGTGGCTCATTGACTTCATGTTACTTGCACTATGGTTCATTGAGTGCATTGTGTATTATGAACTTAACATCCTTTTTCGTCTTTCGACTGTCCAGGTTGTTCCTTCCAAACCATTCCTGCTCTTCCTCGTTCCTTCCCATGTCCACTTCTCTTTTTCCTTTTTCTCTCAATCCTTTCCTTCTTTCCATCAGGTTCTCTTCCTTCCTTGTCTTTCCTTCCCGCTTAATCCCATCCATCGCATTTCCGTCTTTCCCTAGAGGTATCCTTCATCCAGTCCCTTCCTAGCAGAGTTCTGAACCTTCAAGTTGATGTTCCATTGCAGTCTTTCCCCACCGGATCCCGTCGTTTGCTACTGCTATGTGGAAACGGAATCCCACAGCACTCAACGCTGCAAGAAGTCAGAGCCGTCCGGACCATTATAACAATCAGGACACTCCCCCTCCTCGATCCATCTATCCAACCTGCGATCATATTTGAGACCTTCACTAGTACTTCGGCAATCGCCTTGACTGCAGCGCTTTTTGTATTCCTTTTGCATGTAAAAACGGCGAGGACTGCCGTAGAGGCCGTAGGCGCCCTTGCAGTGGACGCCGTTGCGGCAGTAGCGGTACTCGATGCCGTATTTGCACATTGTTGGAAGATTATTGCTGGTTGGGTGGGGTGATCTTTGCGGGTTCTGTCCATGGGGTGTTAGTTCTTCATCGTTGGGGTGGTGTGGGCAAGGGAGCGCGGGTATGGGGAGAAGGACTTAATGTTCTGTATGTTTCGGTGTTGTACTGATGGAGGTATAAGCCCGGTTTAGCTACTTAACTTTATAGGTGGCTAGAGGTAGTCTTTGGCCCTGCTTTTGGGTTGTCTAGGGTAACGTTTAGAAGTTTCGAGGGTTGAGTTAAAGAGATATTTATAATCCTAGAGGAAAGATCTTTGAAAACAGTCGTGATGATCTTCTATTGATTGCTTCGTTTGCAAATGGATAATACCACGGCAGGTGACTGCACGTCTTCCCGTGACTATCACCGTAAAGTGCATTGAAACCTTTACAATACATGTGCACTTCAGGAGTCGAGTTGACGCGGTGAAGATAACCCAATACCGGATAGAACTGAGCGGCTTCAAGTTTAGCAGACAACACTCAAGGTTCTCCCAACACCTGTCCCATCCACACACGTGAAAGCCTGAAAAGGTGACATCTGAAAACTGTGAGATGACTTCCACTTCAAGATTCCCAATTGCCGTTGTGAATAGGTCTGTTTGCACAGTCGTCTCATTCAGAATTAGCGCACAAAACACATGCATCATTTATTTCTTTCCTTCCAGCACCTCGTCTTTCTCTCGTTTTTGACAAAGGTCGTTCTCACCTCAGGTTTGTATTATTCCCTTCATGTTTCCTGTCATGACATTCCCTTCCTCTTCTCTCTGCCTCCAGTTATCCTCCCCTGCAATCCTCTTTGCTCCTCCCATGAACGCTTCACCTCTCAAATTCTACCTCTTGTTCCATGCGGATTTGGTCTCCTTCTCCTGCTTCCAAGCCCTTCATTTGTAGTTTCCCATGTACTTGGTCAATCGTCCTTCGACTTCTGCTCTTTTCCTTCCTTTTCCGCCACTGCACAGTGAGAGCACAACTTATCGATCCTTCTCTCACTACACTCGCGCTTCATGATCGCCACCCTGCGGGTAGGGCACTGCCTTGTACCGGCATAGCAGCGGACTCTCACTTTGTTCGTGGAAAAGTACTGCTTGTATAAATCGAGGTTTGCGTCGACCCATCCAAAACCTGCCGTACACTCGGCGCCTTTGCGACAGAAGTGGTACTCGACGTAGGAGTAGCACATTTTTTGGGATCTGTTGATGGTGTATTAGTTGAGTGTCTCTGGGGTTATTTCCGGTGCTTGCTTACCAGTTTGGGAGTTGCGGTGATGCTTTCTGAAGGTTTGGGTGTAGTCCATCTTCTCGCCAGCATCAATCGTGAACATCGTTGGAGCCCTTTATAAGCGACATTATATCAATTCCGTGAAGGCAACACGATAACGGATCAATCGGCTTCTATAGAAGCAGTTCGAAGTGACCAGTTCATCGTGTCCAATATCCTTTCATTCAAGGTCCATCTTTTACCTAGGTTTTCTCTTCACATGCACTACACGTTTCAATGGAATTTGCAAATTGAATGAGTTATAGCTCGCAACCTTTCAGGCGAGCCCTTGGTCTCCAGATCGAATGACCACATGCAATGGCAGGTATTATTGCTCTTAATGAATCAACATCTATAGTGTACTTATTGATGCAGCTTATCACGTTCTCCTATTTGGCGCAAGATGTCATGACGACGACAAACTCACATCAAAAGGCCCTCATCCCCAAGAAAGGGTTATTCGCCTGTTTTAAGCAACCGCCGAACTTGGGATCAAGTCACATCTGTTATTTTTTTAGAATTCCATTCACCGTGCGGTAAGTAGGTAAGCAAGCAGGCAATATCGTTTCAGTCTGAGAAAGGAGTCAGGATGAAGGAGCCTCAACACAAAGTGCGTGCTTGTTCTGGCACTAGCACAGTGACAGAACCTTTCTTTTGGTAGCAGAAACGCCTTGGGTTAGCGATAGAAGACGTTCTCTTACTGCACTACTGCTGAAACGCACTTGGTCAAACGGATGAATTCCGCTGTCTCGAACCTGAAGCGTGGATTATAGCACTGGACTATTGGGACACTCGTAGCGGCAAACGATCCTGGGTTTGGTGCTAGTCTAACCACTAACTCTGCTAGCCTGGGACAAGCTTCACCGGGAGGAGAGAAATGCCAAGATCCAACTACCTTCCTCGGCGACAATATCAAAGACACTCGACGATTTTGAAGTCGCTGCAAGGCATTGACACAGCCAAGCCCCTTAAGTCGATGCTTCCTCTTCTGTGCTTTATTTTATGCCCAATAGATCCAATCAGTTTGGTTCATAACGTCTTCCTTAACCGCAGCGCTGGTGTTTTGATCATGCACTTCGTAAAACCCCTGTCCGATGAAGCCTCACAGCCACAACCGGACGCCCAACAGCATCAAAACTCCAAGGAAAAGCTCCAGGCTTACTCCAAGGCTTCGAGAATAAGCCACTTGAGAAGGGAGACCGGCCCACATTTGTGCCGTGTATATAGAGGTACCTAGGTGTCCGCGATACCTCAGACCACGGCCAACTTGACGGATCCAAAGTCTCGTGCGACCCTACTATAAGTCAACGCCATGGCCCCTTTTCCTTACTTCCTCATGCCCTTTTCCTTACTTCCTCTTGCCCTTTTCTTCTTCCAGTCAACCAGTACAGTCCCAGTGAACGACCAATCCGAGACCATGAAAACCTACCACACCGACCATCTCAACAGAAAAGGCCCTGATCATGAATATGTTCAAGATAAAGAAAATGATCCCTCCTGCTTCATAACCATGTCCCCAATCTGGGCTTCTCTTCCCCGCGAAATTGTCGGCAAGATCCTCGATGACCACATCACCAACCACCTCCCCCCACCAGTGCCACCACGGAAGGTCTCTGACGAATGGCCCAACAACACCTTCTGCGCCTGACTGACGCTGCGCAACTTTTTCAACTCGGCCATAAAGCGGCAGGCGCATCGAGGGCTACTACCACACCTACGTGCTGACCCAGCTTCATCTCGCGCTGTACACGCACCACCCTGACAGCGAGCTCGACGACGACGTCAAAGCCGAGATGCACGCGCGCCACTATAAGCTTTCTGGACTCACGTTAGGAAGAGACTACATCAAGTACGGGACACCAAACCATATTGCGCCGCCCATTTCCGACGAAGACAGGACGGCATGAACGCAGCTTGATTGGCCGCCTGTCGCCGAGTGCGACATGGACGGCGACGACAAACTGACCCTGTTTCGCTGGCCGGACTGGGGTCCGTATCGGTATGAGGGGGCGTTGGAAATATACGAGCGGCAGCAGGAGCAAGAGAGAGCCACGGCTGCCGGGCTTTGGTGGAGCTATGCCGCGGCTTTGGAGTCCCTTTCGGACAGCAGCAGAGATACTAGATGTAGAGAGGACCGGGAGACAGATCAAGATGGTGGTGGTGGTGGTGGTGGT